ACAGATGTGAGCCACTATGTTTCTTCATTGCATAGCTAATTTCCCAATCTTTTTTTTTCATACATGCATCAGATCCCTGCCTGTCAGTCCTTGACCTTCCAGCCCCCAGTCAACTCTGGGTCATTGTAGAACAGGTCCTTAGCATTGTACCATTTCATGTCATCCCTCTGTAAGTTCATGTAGACACAGACTTAAGGGCTCTTTACCATCAGTGTCATTGCACTTAGTGTGATCAAGTATCTGGCCACCATTAATTTTTTTGATTGCTTCAAAATCTTTATTACAACACTTATAGAACCCATACTCTGCAGCCAGCTGAGAAGCCTTAATCTATATTCAAATAGGTTTTCAAAGTTTTGAGAGAAGGCACTCATGTCTTTTGACTCATTTCTAGTCTTAGGGATTGTGCCAAAACTGAAACCTTGCCAGAAGCCAAGAGGTCATTCAAGAATGTAATGTAGTTTCCTGTAGGTTTGGGTTGGAAGGAGACTGTCTTCTGATAGGAAGTGCAAGCCTCTGAGCTGAAGCTGTTACTCTTTGTGACTTCACGCCCGGGTTCTTAGGTGGTCAGTGCACTGGTGCAGCAGGCGCTCAGTGTTTCAGCATCTCACACCCTGTATCGCTCTACCGAGGAGCGCGGTGCTAGATGTTGCTGCTGCGCTGCCGCTGCTGCAGTGGCAGAATCTCAGCCCTCTGTGTTCTTAGCTGGTTGACACTTGAGCACACTAAAAAGTGGTTCTTGAGAGAAATCGGCCCAGGTAGAAATGTGTAAAAACTGCTTTCGAAGCCAAAAGGCTTTCTCTTCAAGTCTTCTGTTTTCTCTTTACCTTAGTTTGTTATTATAAATTAAAGGGGTGTTTTTTTGTATTGTATTCTAAATGTTGCTAATTCACTCTATTGACTAAGGAATATATCCTTTCACTTAGGAAAATGACTACATTAACTCCTACTTCGATGATGGAGACGATTTTGGTGCAGACAGTGATGACAACATGGACGAAGCAACCTACTAGCCATGGAATTTCTCAAATGCTTCATGGATACAGCTTCAAGCATTTGGATAGACTTTATTTCTGATAAGGCCTAAGTCCATATTTTGTGTTGTTCAGTGTTTTGTTTGTCAAATTCGTATCAAACTCTTCAGAACCATTTTGCTTTTACACACGACGTGACCTCTTCCATGCCTCTGATTCTGTAGTGGAGTTGTGGGGTTCTTTGGATCTTGTTTCATCTGGATTTGAATGTTTCTGAAGAGTCCTAGCATCCTGCACACTGTCTGTTCATACTTGAAAAGGGTCACTCTTGCTCAGCTGCCGACCTGTGGGAAAGCTGTTACTGGTCTAGTGGACTTCCACTAATACCGCACGTGGAGCACTTTAAAAACAAACTGGAAAATGATTCCTCTCACCTGCTATGTTCTAGCTTATCACACTGTGACTGTATAAACTTACCTGAGTTCTTAACAAGTTCAGACTTAGGAGATCTGAGTTTTGATGGTAGGAAAGAAACATGAACACAGCAAAAAATAGTGACCTGGATGAAATAAATTTCAGTTTACATCTCAGCCAAAACAAAAGCTTTCATGTGGGTGGAAGGTTATGAATATTTGGCCTTGGTGTGTGAGTTAATGTTTCTACTGTAATAAGTTTGACATCTTCAATTTGTTGAGTTTATGGGGGAAAAACCAACCTGAGACATGCTGTTTAATTCTGGACTTCATGTAAGTTGAAATAAGTCCTGGTTGTGTAAAACTTGTGATAGAATGGTGTGTGTGTGTGTGTGTGAATATGATGAAGGGCAATGCCCTCCAATGTATTTCAGAAGACTCATAAACTTCAAGCCAATTATATAGTCGTGTAAAATGAACTCAGGTCATCTTGAAATTATGATTGATTCTTCTTGTTTTAACTTACAGGATGACTACCCTGCAGTTTTATATTTTGCAGGAGAAAATATCCAGAAAACTTCACCTCTGAGGACTTTTAATATGCCAAAGATTTTCAAGAAAATTCACGGTGTACATTTTTAAACTAATATATTAAAATTATTGACCTAAAGGAGGAAAATCATTTTTTCTCCGCAGGGGAGACTTGTCACTCATTACCTTCTGACCAGAAACTGGAGTCCTACTTCTTCTCAGGATCAAGATAACCCGGAAAATGAGCTTACGTTTGTGTGCCTTAGTTTCTCCACTTGTAAACAGTTCCCTGTAAGAATTGTTTAAACACTAGCCAGAATTTACCAAATACGCAGTCTTTTACCTTAATGAAACAATCATGTCTTAACTTTGATTTTTGCTTTGTAAGCAGCTGTACTGTGGAAAGTGAAATAGTTGTGAGAAACACTGTCTTGTTATAATCCGGTTTCCCAGTCCTGTACCTGTGTTAGAAGTCATAGTTAGTTTCTACTGTCTGAAGAGATTCCAGCATTTCATTCTCAGGAGAAGGATCCCTTTCAGGAGCAATACTTCCAGTGTTTCAGGATGGCTGTGAGAGCCCATCTCATCAGTATGGAGCTTGTAGTGAACACACGTGTCTCTCATCCAGTTCCCAGGAGTGGATAAACACGTGACTTTCATCCAGTTCCCAGGAGCGGATAAAAATGTTTTAAGATTCCGAACAGAAACATCAAGTCTTAAAGCTTCAGTGTGTTCAGAAATTTACAAGAAGTTTGTAGTAATGAAGGCAAATTGTGTTATTTGGGAATAATAGGTCCTATGTTTTCTTACATTTGGTACCAGAGCCAAATAACATGTACGTCATAAACAGTTTATTTCATAGTTCTGTCTCCTTCCCTTGTTACAGATGTGCAGATAACTGTTCAGATTGGGTACAGGCATTGGCAATAACTTCTTCCCTAGTTTCCAGGGTGTCTTCACTCTTGTGTTCCTGCCAACAGGAGGGAAGATGCTTTCCAACATTCTTTATTCTGGGATTTCCATCCCTGTGAAAGATAAGTTTACAACTTTAAACATTAATTTTGAGAAAGGATAGAATTTTTCAGGCAGCTTGACAAGCATAAGTCATGTTTTCTTTACTGCAGAGACTATGAAATTGCTTTGTAGAGACACCTTCTTAATGGTTAAATAAGTGTACTTACTGGGACTGGTTGGTGAAATGTCTTTAACATAATGCTAACAAATAAAACTAATTGGTACAATGATGAGTTTTCTGTATTTGTTTACACATGTAAAGTTTAAAAAAATAAAATTTTGGCCTTAATACCAAGATGGTTTTCCGTGAAATATTTCTTTGGTAGAAAAAAACCAGTTAATTCTAGTTTTTCTCTGCTAAAGTAGCTTTATTGAGTAGGGATGGTTGTAGATCAAACCCCCACCACATACAAAGGAACACTCTTGGCTTTAATTCAGCAGGAAACCTGTGCTCACTGTTTTCTTCAGCAGTGTTGCTGGAAGAGGCCAAAGCATCAGAGGACGGCTGTTCTTCTCTCCATCCACACCTTCAAGTGACAAGTGTGAGAGGAAGTGTGAGCCAACTTTAAGGTCAAGCTGCTTTAAAATGGAAAAATGTATGGGAAAGATGAGTTGCCCTGAAGAATTCTTTCTGGTTCTGTGTGTGTGTGTGTGTGTGTGTGTGTGTGTGTATTATTTGCATATGGTATATATCTAAGTGTTCATGTGTGTGCAAGTCTGTTTTCAGGCCAAAAGTTAGGTACTCTTCTTTCATTACTGTTCATTTGGAAGGATAACCAATCCCTCTAGATTATCTGGCCAGTGAGCACGGGGATCTTGTTTCTGCGTCCCCTACACTACGATTACAGTTGTGCGCCTTTTTACTTGAGTGCTGGGACTCTGCACTCGGGGCTTCATGCTTGTCCAGCAAACTTATACTGACTGAGCCTTCTCCTGAGTCTCCAAGATTAATATTCTTGAAAGGCACTTTTTTGTTTTATTTCTTTTTTATTTTGGCACTTTTGTTTTATAAAAACTTAAAACTTACATTTAGAGCATCTCATGAGACTGACTCGGTTTTGGAAGCATGGCCTGGATTTAACAAGTCTTGCCCAGAAGCACAATTCCTCAATAGCATTTATCTAATATTTGTTTTACATCCAAAAATTAATCTGTTATATATTAACAAATAGGAAGTGTGAATTGATTGAATGTGGCAGCTTGAGTTTATAACCAGCTATGAACTCCACTAGCTGTAACAACTGCCCTGGCAGGACAGGTCCACTGATGTACTAGTGGCACAAGAATCATGGAAGCAACCAATCACTTTCTGATTATGTTAAGCCCAGCTCCACAAGAGGAAACCCATACTTAGGACCATTATCAATCCAAGAACCTACCATTCAACAGATTGTAGGCCTGGAGAGCCTACTATTATGCTTGTAAATAGTAAAGTAGTAAACTGTCCTATTGACTCTGAGAACTCATCTGAGAAAGCTATTTGCAATAGATGGCGATTAACTGGCCAAGGGACAGAGAATTAGAGTCTGTATTGCACACACACACCCTCCCAAGGCTCAGGATCATTGAAGAAGAGAGGATGAAAAGAATCTGACAGCCAAGGACAGTAGGTGACTACTTGGAAACACTTGGATACAGCAGGGTAGCTACACCTGTTAACGTGTGACAGCATGTACAAGACCTGTGCAAGCTCAAGCCAGATCAAATTCCAGGAAGGCAAGGGAAGTCGGGAACACAATACTACTGGTCATGAAGCAAATGGCAATTAATACCAGCTGAAAGAAGAGTCAGCTTTCTGTAAGAATGTATCTCATGGTATGTCAACCACCATGCTCCAGTGAAAGGCACATACCCAAGAATAATTGGGTACCATACTGGTGCCTGTAATCCCTGCACTTAGGAGGCAGAGGCAGGCATGTGAGTTTAAGGCCAGCCTGGTCAAAAGAAAGAGAAAAAGAGAGGAAGAAAGAAGAAAAGAGAAAGAAGAACTAATGTGAAAATGTATTTTAAATAGCTTGAAAGATAAAATTGCTTTATTCAATTACATTCAACAACTTCCATTTTCAAATTGATTAATAAAATAGAAAGTTTATTATAATTTGCATATCCTTAAATATGAAAAACAAGGCAAAAAAGTTTAAAAACCAGTTTTACAGATGTACATGCTAACAATGGTTTAATATATTTGCAATTATATAAAATACATTATACAAAAAAATTTTAGCTTTTCATACATAAAATGAATTAAATAAAGCATTTATAATTTTCTATGGTCTAACAGTGCAATATGCACATACTTAGAAAAAATACTGATTTCCTGAGCAACAATGTTGTAATTCAAAATCAGAAAGAATCCCATGATAATGCAGTGTTTACATAACAGCTCTGTGATACGCTTGAGACTGGGTCTCCACTTCTACTTGCAGCCATAGCCTTCGCATTTTCACTGAGGTAATGCTAGGTCTTTTTACTAAAGAGAAATAATCAATTACTAAAGAGTGTTTCACTTAATAAACCAAAAAGCAGAGCCCATAAAAAAGCTTTAACAATCAAACTCCACCAAAAAGAAAATCTGAGATCAGAGACTTCTTAGTTCATAACATGGCCAGCTTTGTAGGGGGCACAGTGAAAATATTCAAATATCTATCCATTGGTTCAAAACAAACTCAACCATGTACCTAGTCTTTACAGAGCCATGAATTTTTCCTGTAACGATATCAGATGTTTCTTTACTTGGAATTCCAAATTTTTAAGTGAACTAATAAACTCAATGACTATAACTCAATTCTGTTGGGTTTATAACAGCGCACACACATGCACACATAAAAAAATTAAAGCCTCAAAGCAAATTCAAGTAAGGGCTTGAACATGATCCACAGTAGCAAACAATGACAATTGTTTACAATGTAGTTTGCAGTTGCCAAAATTCTACTAAATGCTTACATTTTTCTTTTGAAGATGAAAGCATAATTCTATATAGAATTATATTCAACTAATAATTCTAAAATATATAGGCAAAGCTAATTGCTTGGTTGTTTCCTAGGGATGTATGTTGTATTTCCTTCAAAAACGATGTGCCTCAAGACAGAAATTATTTTAACCAGCAAATAAATATACCTCCTCCTTTAAAAATAAGTTATCCGATCCTTCAATTACAATTCCAAAGTAAAACCAGCAAAAAAAAAAGAATCACAATTCTGTAATTTAATCTGCTTGATGTAAACAAAAGTCTTCAAAGGTTATGTAGCCTATTCTGCCCTGAAATCTGTATTTTCTTACCCTAAAACTCAATTTTTCAGCAGGCTGAATAAATACAATGTAAACTGGATGTGTTAACACTGAGCATAGTTAAAATTTCAAAATGCACATGGCATCTTAAAAACAACTAAAATTATTTTAACTAAGATTTACTAAAGGAATCAATGTACTAGAACTGTCCTATTAAGTATTTTAAAGGAAATTTTCTAAAACTTTTCTGATACATGTAAGGGCTTTAAAATGACTGACTTTTGTGTCTGTCTTTTTTGTAATGCTTTTTCTTCTTGAAGCATATAAAACCCCAAATATAACAAATATGTATTAATAATTCCTTGTATCACGATTTGAATTTTATATACACAACATTTAAAAAGCTGAAACACTGATTTAGGAAACAATGTCCAGAAAATGAGGTGATGTAACATATTTTAAAGTATGGAGTTTAGTATCCAGAAAACGTGCAATCCATTACGTGCACGTATATTTTTAAAACACATACTTACATTGAATTCAGTATGCGAATACTTCTTAGCCAAATTAGTCGTCCCACAACAGATTCAGAAAATGCCACTCTTAAGCCCTTTTGACCAATCCACACAACTTTGGCCTGTGTTTCTCAATTTAATGGTGCAGATTAGGTGGGGATAATTGAAATCTGACATTTTGTTTTTGAAAAGCAGAGATCAAGCGGTCACCAAATAAATCAATCTGTCTTACTGCAACTGTAAAAGTCCTGCTTACTCATTTTTGCTTACTAAATCATTTTTTTCTGCAAAACTTCAGAGGCAGATAGTACAAATTTGTTTTTACTCCATTAACTTATGCTTTAAAGTGAAGACAGACAAATTTACATAGGCTATGGAATGATACGCTGTGGAATGAAATCTGACACAATGTTTCAACTTTAACTGGAAAGTGTACATGAACTTATATAAAGTGACACTGTAAGGCTTGAGTATAATTAAGGCATGTTACAATTTTTAACAGCAATAATCAGTCATAGTATGTAAGGGGGAATTTGCTGAGTATGCTTTTTGGTACATCACGTCATTAAAGAACTATAAAAAGTGCTTTCAAATAGCACATACAAGTATTTTTAAAAATAGGTGGAGGTGAGGCTAATGGGCTGGTTATAAAACATTCCTTTAAAAAAATTTTTTTTAAGGAATATGTCTTGACCTATTTCAGTGTCCTTGTGATTAACTGGTAAGTTTCCAACCCTAAGACATTATTTTGGGGTCTTAAAATTTTTAATCTATTTCTTAGCCTTTGTTACACAAATTATAGATTATGTTTTTATATCTGTTTCTACATTACACTAAATATGATTTTAAAGTTTCAAATTTGAGTATTAAGTACTTGGTATCATAAATAATTTTAGAATCAAAACTTTTACAACTAGCATTTTGGTAGCAGGTAAGGTAAGCAAAGTTTCAGTGGTAAGCATTTGAGACACTGGACATCAACAACCTTAAACCTTAATTAAAAATTAATCTTTTAAAGATAAAATTTAAACATACCTAACCTTGAATACTAAAAATGATAGCATCTTCTAAGTCAGAATTCCTAGACATACATTTAAATTAATTTCTGCTTTAAAAATTGATGTATGGACTGACCAGTTTCAATATAAAGTAGCAAATGCAGGTTATAGACCATCCATTTGTAAAAGAGCTCAGGGACTTTTAGGAAGGTAAAAACAAAGTGTCTTTGATCCTGGATTCCGGCCTGGAAGCAGTGAACAGCCGTAGGTGAATGACCATATTCCGCGCGCACACGTTGTCATTAGTGCTGATGGAAGCTCAGCGTCAGGTCTTGTGTTGGGCGTCAGGTGACTGAGGGTCTCGCCTGTACAGTCTGTGGTCATCCTGCTGACCGGTGTGTATCCCTTTCGTGGCAGTGATGGCATTCTCCATTTCTCTGGGCTGTGATGGAGCTGTGAGTCCTGGATGCAAGGATGAAGAACCCACCGTTGAGTGGTGACTAACATCCACCTTAGCCAAAATTTCATAATACAGCAAATAAAACACCGGCGTTACTATACCCACTATCAACATTATCACCACAGCCGTCCACCAACCAATTCCCCAGTCTGCTCCAAAATATGGATCCTTTCGGTGAAGGCTTTTGTTAGCATGTTCAAATCGGATCTGTGGTGCTGCTAAGGCAGACACCACCTCATTCAGGTTCTCCTTCTTGGTGTCTGTACACTTTACTATCTGCTCTATGTCTCGATCCACTTCTTTCAGGAAGCTTCCAGCTGACTCACTGGAAGAAAAAGAATCGGCTGGCACCATTTCCTGTTCTTCAACACACGGAGCAGGGGGAGGATGCAAGCCTTGTCTTCCCTTCGGAGGATGAAGAGTTTCAGTCAAAGAACTAAACCTTTTAACTGGAATTTTTATAGACCTAAGAGCAAAAAAGTCTTGATCACTGATGAGATTGTTAACTCTTTTGATGTCTGCTACCTGCAAAAAAAAAAAAAAAAAATTGCAACATTGAATTGAATTCTAAAATTAGACCTTCAATGGTTCAATTTCATTCTATGATTGCTGTTATCTCACCAGATTTTACATGTTGCTTACATACGGGAACTGTAAACACGAAATTTATCTAGTGTTAGGAAATCACCAACAACTCTGAATCAGCACCTACACAGTAGTAACACTAGTTGGCAAGCAATCTGTGAATAAACAATTATGGGCACTAATGTTCCTATTCTAATGTGCCAACTGCAGTATAAGCATGTTAAATTACCCAGTTCAAAGTACTGTTTATCAAAACTAAAACGCCATCAACTCTACAGGGCACCATGCTTCTAGTTATCTTTAAGAGAGAAACTGCACCGAATATAATGAAGGCATCTGTTTAATTGAGATACGTGGAGTAAAGGCTCAAGCAAGAGCCAACTTTATTCAGAGCATCAGGCAGTTTATAGGGCTAAGATTCTGAATAAAGTATAAAATCACAAGGACAAGGCACATAAGGAAAAAACGGTTTTTCCTTAGAGGCATGTGAATAACAAGAGCTGAAATAAACTCACTCCTATCTGCTATACCTGGGAAAAACACAAAAACATATACTAAGAACACTTCGTTCTGAAGAAGCTGAGGTTCCTGTTTTGTTGGAGCACTCTCACAGCAGTCAGAATTCTCACATGGCTCCATTCCTTGGCTGTGTTCCAACACGCACCGTCATGCTACTCTCAAAGATGCCAGAATGCAAAAATAACAACAAAAAACAAACAAACAAAAAACAACCATACACTTGACGTTTAATACTTTATTCACCTCACTCTCCTATCTTCTGAAGTTATTTTTCCCTGAATCCATCAGTGTAAATGAATTGTGCAATCAATCACTCCAACATCAGGCTCATAGTTCCTTTATATACATTGTAAACCCCACCTGCCCCATGCCACTATGATGGGGGAAAGAAAGGATGGGCTGTTTCTCACATTATCAATTAGTTAGCCAGGTTTTCTCCCCACCTTTTTTAGTTCCATGTGTTACATTTAAGTCAATACTTCAAACTCTTATCCTGTGCTACCCAACTAATGTCAAGAGATGTAGAATGAGTCTAAGATGGAACTTTGGTTTAGTCATCTCCATGGGTGAGGATGGTGCCACTCCATGATACAGAGCACTGCAGAAAGTGGGAGAGGATGTGCACAGAACTTAGATATACTGCCTTTTAGGTGCCTGAGCTGCACAAGTGAACGATAGTTAGGAGAGGTGAAGACAGATGTCTGAATCTCAAATGAGAGGATGAGGCTTGAACAGTCACTAGAAAAGATATGAGAAAAAAGAGAGAGGCGAGCACCGTGCACAGCACTAACATCTGAGGAATGTGTATTAGAAACGGGTAGAAAGTGCTCAAGAAGGCAGCATCACATGGTGGCCAAGTGCACACGTCTGTGTTTGAAGCACAACTGTTACTTTCTATTTGTGTGTTTTAAGGCACAGAATCTATCTGTTACACCATTTCTATACTTGTAAAAAAAAATCAATAATGATATTCGTACCTTATAAGGTTGGTGTAAGTATTAATGGATTCATACACACACACACACGGAATACGTGGAGTAGTGATCTCTACCCTTATCATATGATGTTAGCATTTACTGAATATTACGTAGCATGAGACTCTGAAATCTGAAGCATTTTAGGAGGTCAAGAGGAGGTCAAAGGGGCCATAACAGAATCAGTGATCTGTACTTGGAAAATGAAAAACATCCGACTGGGCAAAATCTCTTACTCTTATCAAAGGTTTTTGGATAACTACTGGGAGAAAACTGCAGGTTAACTAGCAGTGAGAGGGTAAAAGGAAGGGGTACTATTGCCAGTTCCACTTTAGCCAGTTCTGTCTTAAAGGAAATGAAGACGCAAATAACCCCAAAGCGTGACCCCACTCTATTTTAACGTCACTTGCTTTAAAGAAGTGCTTGGTACCTGAATTCAGCATCTAAAACTCACCATATACCTAGGCTAAGCCTCTAAATATACAGAATAATGTTTCCTATGTTATGCTAACTAACTTGGACACATATAGAATTCCAGCTGTGGACCTTTCATGGCCCTCATCAGTAACAAGCATGTTTTCAGTATAGCAGTAACTACTGACTGTATCTTCAGAGCAACGGTAAGTCCTTTTGTAAGACAGGTTTCTTTGCAGATTGAGCTTCCATGATAAGGAAGCACAATGGGCAACCAACTCTCCCCTCAGGGCCAATGCCTTCTCTCCTCTGTAAGCTTATCAGGTGTCAGCATTCCTGTTTCAGTTCTTATGTTTGCTATACACAAAGAAGCTAAGGAATGAAAACCAAGTGCCTATCTCTCTACCACTTTTAAAATATATTCCAACAAAAGATTTTATTAATCTTTAGATCTAAAGCTATAGTTGATTTTTACATATTATGAATAACTGAAATAATTACTTCATCCTGAAAAAATATTATATAGAACATCATGACAATAGGAAGTTGTTTCTTTTAATCCTATTTAAGCATACACACATATACACATTTATACAGCAAATATATGAAAATATGTATTCTTACTGCATAGTAGGATGATAGGTTACCAGTAAAGGGATTTCAAGTACAAAAACATTTATATTATAAAAAATTCTACAGATGGAAATAGTAATGAGGAGAAGAAAAAAAATGATGCAGAATTTCATATTATTAAAAAGAGCTCTCATGCTACATGTTAAAAATAACACAGGGATGTAGGGGGCTCAGCGGTTAAATGCATGTCCTACAGGTTTGTTTCCTAGCACCATATCAGGCAGATTACAACTACCTGTAACCCTAGCTCCAAGGGAACCAATGCCCTCTTCTAGTCTCCAATGAGTTAAGTCTATGAGGTTATAAGTGATGCCTAAGATAGGAAAAATACAAGTTACAGAATAATACACAGTATTTAACAATTTTAAGAACAAAATACATAAATCCTTTATCAACCCCTAAATATGTGTCTGCACAGATGTTTACAAGCATAGAAATAGGGTACAGAAACACACCAAAGTATGTTCAAGAATTAACTTAAATGCTAAAAAGGTCATGTCCACAGGCACGAGAACTCTGGGCAAAGAAAAGTGAGCAAAAAGAAAAGGAAGAAGGTAAGAGGACACAGAATTGACTTCCATTCTGGCCGGTCTAATGGACAAATAATTTATTCTGGACTCTATTATGCAAAGTAAGTTAAATGAAAACTTACCGTGCAACAGTACTGAAGGGCTACTGCATTTAGCGTGTCTCCTTCCTGTATATCTTTTGTTAATATAATAATGTCATCAAGTCTATCTCTCGATGTGCTTCTTCGAACCTTCTCCTTTCCCCTGGATCGAAGTTCATACACTTCAGCATCTTCTTCCAGCATGTCACTGTCTGTACAATTTCCAAAAGTGTGTACCTGACCACTGGCCTGAATCCCTGGGAGGGAAACAGTCCGATTCTGATTCCTCCCTGCCATGACGCTGTAATCTGGAGGAAGAAAAAAGACCCTGAAATGTCGCTGATCCATTTCAGATTTACATAAATCTTATACTCTAGATACTACTTTTTCAAATAATTGTTTTAGTTCTATAGGAATTTAGGTTCAGGTTCTGGAGAACTGCAGCCCACAACCTGACAATGAAGACAGCACAGGAAGAGGTCAGCCAATGCATGGCTGAAACTGTCCACTCAGGGCTCCTGTTCACCTAGAAACTCGTACACAATCCCAGGCTTGACATACATATCATCTTATTATTTATTAAAGACAAAAGTAAATCCAAATGCTGAGACACTGTGCTCATTCCTTTCTATGTTACCAATTCCACTGTGTACTGGTGACTCAGTAGTTAATTACGTTTGTAGTCAAACCGGAGTTCATCCTGTGACTTGCATGTAATAAGGAAAGAACCAGTGTCTACAACTGTTCTCTGACCTCCAGGGCCAGGATGTAAAAACACTATGTGAGAAACTGAACCGTGGCAGAATTTTTGGTACTGCACAACACACTGAGAACTTTCAGAGTTGATCAATGAAATGATTTCGAGTTGCCAATTGTCAGAATGCTGTTTCACGTAAATGTTAACAAAAGCGTCATGTTTGTGAATAATTCAAGGATTATTCAGAATCTCAATCCAAATTCATTTTAACAGTTTCTCATGAAAACCAAGTCAGCAGCTCTAACAGAAATCTTAAAAATACCTACTTATTTATTTATAGTGTGTGTGCTGTCAAATGTGCATGTCAGAGGACAACACTGGATACCTGGTTCTTCCCATCAACCACGTGGGTTCTGGGGATGGATGTCAGTTCATCAGGACTGAGAGCAAGTACCTTTATACACTAAGTCATTTTGCCAGTCCTCTAACAGCAATTTTTGAAATCAAACATCATAATAACATAGAATCCAAAAATTATACTAATTTGATATTTACATGTTGAAAAATGACAGTAGAAAATGTTAAACATATTTGTTTTGTAATGGAAGCATTGTGTTTCTATAGCATCAACTGAGAATTAGACTAAGAATTATTTATCAATGAATACAACTTATTTACTTTCAAGGTCACTGTCACACATTTATCATTTTGGTCTAATTCTCATTAAAATGAAACAGGAACTTAAAAACAAACTTCACATTCAGTTTTGGCTTCACTTTAATTATCCACATGAGAGGACCAATGGAGTAAGAGGCACTTTTGCAGGTAAAAACAAAATAAAACAAAACAAAAGTATAATAAAATAAAAACAAAAAAAAACTTTCAAGCTTCAATGTATCTCAGACATGAAACAAGAACTTAAGAAAGCATTCATAGCTAAATATAGTTCCATTCTCTTAAAATACGGAAGACAGAAAGCTACATCAGGTTTAGTTTTCTTTGTCGATTTGATAGACACTAGACTCCTCTGAGAAAAGGAAACTTCAGTTGAGAAAAATGGCTCCATCAGGCTGGCCTGTAGGCAAACATGTAGAGCATTTTCTTGATTAATGACAGATGCTGGAGAGCCTAGCCCGGCATGGGTGGTGGTGTCACCCCTGGACAGGTAGACCTGGTTGGATAAGGAAGCAGGCTGAGCAAGGTATGGAGAGCAAGCCAGTAAGCAGTGTTCTTCCCAGTCTCTGAGGAGCCACCGTGGCTTTCTTCAATGATGGACTGTGATGGGGATATGTAGGCCAAAAGAAACCCATGTTGCTTTTGTGGTCTTTATCACTGCAATAGAAAGCAAAGTAGGGGTCTGGAGAGATCAGCAGTTAAGAGCACTAACTGCTCTTTTGGAGGAACAGGCTTCAATTCCCAGAACCCACATGGCAGCTCACAACTGTCTGTAACTGTCTATTCCAGGGGATCCTCACACAAACATACATGCAGTCAAAACATCAATGCACATAAAAGAAAATTTAAAAAAAGAAAGGAAACTAGGTCAATTATAATGAAGGCAGAATAAAACTAATGTTAAACATTCAAGTATGTTACCTCAGTGAAGATAAAAATCTTCAAGCAAACATGGAAAAGGTGTCCCTAGGGGAGGAAATATTATGTCATGGAATCCTACAATGTAAAATGATGTCTAGAAGGATGTATTCCTGTTTTGTATACTATGGATGAGAAACAATTACAAAGTAAAACAAAACAAACCAACAATGGGGGTGGGCAAGAAACAACAAAAGCAATTAACTCCAAAACTCAGATGACAAAAGATTACAGTCTCTCTATAAAAACATATTTAAGTTTCAAAACTATTTCATTTAATTAAATCCAGCCCTTAAAGTCCAGCTTCTGACCTTGCTTTACAGTAACACTGTATTGCTTTAAAAATTCAAAGGTCTCTATTTAGATAATAAGAGCTATACATTAGTGGCTTTCTTCAGCTGCTCCCACAGGTGCTACACTATTTATTGCCAAAACCACCCCTAATTTGACAGTCCCAAACTAAAGAAAGCCCACAGTTCACATCTCAGGAGCAGTTTTAAATCAGGAGCATCCCAGTTTCTCCAAGGACAAGTTTTATTTCCACTTACTTATCCAGGTCTTTTCTTTAAAAGAAAAAAAAAAAAATCGCACATCATTGATCAAGAGAATATCTGTCAGTTTTGTGGAATCAGAAACAAGCTGCATACATGCATATCCTATCTGGGTAAGTGACTGTTTCATACTCTCAAAAGCATACATGAGCAGAAAAGACTCAACATAACGCAATGTATAGGTGGTTACATTGCCTTGGGTACGCTGTCCCTTTCTTTGCTCCTTGTCCCTGGAACCCTTACTACAGCTATCAGAGATTTACTGAGTAATACCTAAAAGCCATTTGAGACATAATTTACTCATATCAATCTTTTCTTCATGATCGATTCTAAAATCTAAAGACTCGCATCTTCACGTATCTGGCTCTCTTCCTCTAAAATGAAAGGAAAGCGTAACAACCAACCTGGACACTCATGTCTGAATAACCAAGAATTGGGTGTGCTCGTCTATAACCGAGTGCCCGGCTACTACACTTTGGCCCAGGCAGATAATGACATGATCAAACTCCTGAAGATTAGAAAGTACACAGTATCCTCAATTCTCTTCACCGCTCAGATTCCGTGAAGATGGAATCTGGCTTCAGAAAACTAGAACACGTTGCATGCCGCGCCGCTGACAAGCGTCATGAAAGTGATCATCCACAGATACAGTGTGCATGTTTTCACCCGCTCAGTCCATAACCTAAAGCGACCTCCCAGCCCCTGGGTACTACATAGTAACCGCTACTGCGTGTTTGGTCTTGACCTTAGGCAGGGCGCGACCGACGACTCCTAGCGCACAAGCCAGTTCAGCACTCGGGACAGAATCACGCGGGTCCTTCCCACAATGGCCAACGTTAAACCAAAGCAACTGCAAAACTTCCTCCCTGTCCATTCCACTCGTTTATATATTTATTTTTTTCCTTTTCCTCCTTATCCCCAGCGATGATAACATCCGTGATTTCTAGGTAGCAGCATCGGACCGGGACGCTTCGGAGCAGATGGTGTGGAGACCCAGCGGCGCGGTAGGAGCTGCCCGGAACCGAGGCTGGAGTCCCTCCCGACCCGGGGCAGCGGCCCACGGTGACCCCGCCGGCGTCGAGCCCCGGCCCGCCCCAGCCCCGGCCCGCCCCAGCCTCCGGCACCTGTACTCTAACAAGGGCGCGGCCCCACGGGGACGCCCGCCGGCACAGCCGCGGCGCGGGGGGAGCTCATGACCGTCTCCGGCTACCCGGCAGCCTGGATCCGCTGCTGCCACCGTCGCCGCCGTCCCCGCCTTCCGCACCAACAGCCGCCGCCACGTCCGCAAACCTGCGGTGCGTCATCGCGTAGAGTGGGCGGTGGTGCGAGGGCGTGGGCGGGGAGCCCAGAACGCCGGCAGCCAACCGCAGGCCCACGCCAGCACGCAGGCGCGCCGACGCACCGGGGCGTGGCCGAAGCCGGGCCCGCCCCCCGCTCCCTCCCCGCCCCCCCGCCCCCCCGCCCCCCCGTCCCCTCCCCGCCCTCGCCCTTCCAGGCTGGGCTGCACCCCGCTCTCTGTGGACCCTGGGAGCACGTCGGAGCAAAGGAGGACGCTGAGCAGAGCGCGTGCGTGAATAGGAGCCTAAGGCGAGCCGCTGGGCCTTCCTTCTTGCTCTGTGTCTGGGATTTTCTTCCCGGTGGGGCAGAAGAAAGCACAAGCACTGTGTTTACCTCCCTGTTTTAGAAAATCGCACTGTGAGCCCTAGGGCAGCCAGAGTGGCACAGTGCCTTGGGTAGGAAGGTGAGCAGAGCGAGCCACCTAGAGCCAAGCCCGGGATGGGACAAAGTTGTCAGCAACTGGTAACTGATCTACTTGAATTTGAAAATTAGCAGGACGTCATTGGTGGTCAGTGTCGCACTATCTGATGTCAGTAAAATAAATACCTCACGTCTTCCGACTTAATTTTTATCAGAAGTTTATTGAAGGAGCAGATGAAGTGTTTGTATTTATTCAAATGACTGAACGGCACTTTAATGGTGTGTCTGGTGTTTTGTACTGACTAAGGACACTGCACTTTGACCCATTTAGGCCCAGGCTGTTTAAACACAGGACGTACCGCACTTCTCTTTCCAGTCTTAACATTTATCCTAATGAAGCCTTTGGAACGCTGTTCCAAACCCTTTCTAGAGGGTTTATTGGTTGGTTGGTTGGTTGGTTGGTTGGTTGGTTGGTTGGTTTTCTGGGAAGTGCCTCTGCAAGGGTTGGGGTTTTACTTACATTGCAATAAGCGCCTTTTATTTGAAGGGATAAGAACAATGCTACAAAGACCTCCAGGCAAAGAAAACTGGGTGAAGAAAAAAAGAAAAAAAAAGTTTGCCGGAGCTGTTCTGTGTGCTCTTGCCCTTATGACACTGCTGTCTGTAACCATTTATCACGGAGACATTTTCTCATCAGGAGACAAAGGATATAGTCCGTTCTTGACATGTAAGGCTTCAGCTGTTCAGCCCTCATGAATGTTAATAGGATGCAACATTCTTTCTGCACGTAGGTTACTTTTCTTATTTTAATGTTAATAGGCCATGGAATCCTTTGTAGAGTCTGAGCAATAGAATTAATTCCAAGCATTTCTTCAGGACTGCTACCTGCTCCCCTTGAAGAAACATTCTACAGGATATCTGCAGAGCTTTTAAATGATTACTTGTATCTAACAGAAATTGAATAATTTATTTGTTTACAAAAGGCCACGATATATGTATATTTTATTGGACTACACAAAAGAAGCAGTTAGCCATGAATTTTGGTTGAGTTCCAAAAAGCTGGCCAGTAAGAACAAATATTTGTCTTTGGGAAAAAAGGATGCCCTCAGCGATCCCCAAGGCCAAAGGAATTCTTAGTTTTTCAAATCTCAAATGATACGTTGTCCATTAAAATGCTACAGTGGAAAGTAGATGTTTCTAGAAATGTTCATTTTGGTCACTAGCATGTAGGTTAAGGCAGAGTCAATGCTGTGTCGCACAGAGACAGTGAGTTGATGGAACCTGGGAGGCTATTTGCTGATATGCATTAAGATTTTAAAAAACGGAATTGACTGCTCTGCAACTTTGCTAATTACTTCAATTCATTTATAGATACAACTGACTCAGATTCAACAGATAAGCTCAAATATGTTTACCCAAGTAATGGCCAAGAGAAAAACAATCAAAGTATTCATCAGTAGCTAACTGAATCCTTTGTGTTTATTAAAACAATGTAATAATTGATCAAAAAATTTAAGTTCATGTTCTTTACAGATTTATTTATTACTCTGTCTATGAAACATTAGGTTAAGGAGTATATACTAGAAATTCATTCCAGTCTTGCATATACAGTTCTTTTTTAAAAAACACGAAATCCTGGGCATGAAGACATGTATTTGGAGCACAATACCCAAATAAAAATACAGCCATGGTTGCATGTAGCCATGGCTGTGTGCCTGTAACCCCAGTTATGGGTGGGGAGTGGAGGCAGGAAGATCACTGGGGCTTGCTGACCACCAGTCTAGCTTAAAGTTCAGTAGAAACCCTTGCCTGAAAGGAGTAAGGCAGAATGACACAACACCTGGCTTAGTTGAGGTTTCCATTGCTGCAACAAATCATTATAACCAAAAAGCAAATAGCAGGGTGGAGGGAATGGTTTATTCAGCTTATACTTCCATATTGTGATTCAACATCTAAGGAAGTCAGGACAGGAACTCAAGCAGGGCAGGAACGTGGAGGCAGGCGTTGCTGAAGAGGCCATGGAGGAGAGCTCCTTGCTTGCTCTCTGTGGCTTGCTCAGCCTGATTTCTTATAGAACCCAGGATGCCAGCCCAGTGATAATTCCAACCACAATAAGCTGGGTCCTCCCCCATCAATCAGTAACTTTTTTAAAATGCCTTAAAAGCCTGCTTACAATCTTAAGGAGACATTTTCTTAATTGAGATTCTCTCCTCTACTGTGACTTCAGCTTGTGGAGCATGTATGACTATAAACATGTATAAAAATCCCCAAAATACATTTTAAAGGTTAAAAAGAAAAAAAATTGTCATATAGAGAAGATAGTGTATTTTCCTTTGGGATACAATTTAAATGTGCATCTCCCAATTTATTATCAATAAATTATTAAAAGTAGATAGACTTATTTTGTAATAACTGGGCATGTTCCCTCAGAGCTAACTGTACATGTCTGAAACATTCACAACTTGTTTGGAACTTTGTATCCAAGTGATGCATGCCTGAAAAACAAAACAAAAACAAATCAATTCCTTTAAAATCCAAAGCTTTTATTCTTTTCATATTTCTTCCTGGTCTCCTGTGGCTGATTTTTTTCAGCCTTGTATTGCCATTCTCTGCTACTTCCCACACCTTTTCAGAAGCAAAACTGGAAAGAAATGAAAACATAAATTTCACATTGGATTATAAAACAAAAAACTGAAGTCTGTCATGGAATTAGTCAGGCTTATTTAGCCAGCCTCTCTCAATAGAAAAACATCACTGCTTCTCTTCTTTAGACATCCTGAAGGTAGCAAGCATACCACTGCTTGCTTTAGATCTGTTATGCTGATATAGTAGATGGACTCTTTACTTGCCTCTCACCCAATGGTTTTAACATGTTAATTATTATAATCACAGTTTTGCTATGTGTAGATAAAAGAGTCAAATATATTGTGGGAATATTGAAATGCTTATAAATGCTTGTAAGTCATTTAGGGAGATTAAATATGACTCAAAAATAACCATCTCCAGTGTCTCCAGCTCTAGATTTTATTAGCTAAAAACTAGTCTTCCAAATACTATTCTACAATTCTTTAGTTAGGTAGGCAGTACAGATAGATAGGAATAGCTATATGTCTATCATTAAGTAGGCCACCTATTCAAATTCTTTGTTTCTAATCGTCTTTACAAGAACTAGGGCCACACAGGCAAATCATCGTATGTGAATGCTCCTAGATCCTACAGCTTGCTTGTGTGTGTGCCTACCTTTCTCAATACTTGCTAAGACGATCAGAGAGAATTCAGGAAAGTCTATGTCACTGAAAAAGAAAATATGAGATATGACCCTTGCTATGGAACTGTTTGAGGGCAGGAGGTAAAGGCAGAGTGTATCACTCAGAAGGGCAGAGGTATTCAGAAGAGAATGCAGAGGTGGGTGTGTAGTTAGAGTACACTACAGAGCACTTAGGTAGTGTAGTAGCAGAATCAAGAAAGTTAGGGGTAGGTAAGTATTGACTTCTGTCCGCCTGTGCAGATTTTGCCTGCTGGATTTGGGATCTGAAGATCTGAAAGAATGGGGCAGATTACGGTCTAATGCGGTGGACAATCTTATTTCAGTTTCAATGTACTTTTATACATAAATCTAACAATGAAAGCAAAGGTCCAACTCAGATTGTTTGAGTGCAGAAAAACATGTAAATAAATGTCAGCAAGCACATGTTAAATATTAACAGAGCAGCCCTTCTCCAGAACTTTCTCAGGACAGACCAATTTAAATACAGTTGTCTGGCACATACTTTAGATTTTATCTGGGAAAGCACCAAAGCAAGGCAGAAGGCCACAGATGGATTCAGGGTACACTGGCCACATTGGGTTCTATAACTGTATACTGACATCCAAAAAGAATTAACATGTCTTATGAATTGAATATAAATGTTTGTCACGAGTGGCACAAATCATGTCCAAGAACAATGCAGGGAACACGAAGCACCTGGGATAAAAGGCCCTCAAGGCCCTCTGCCCTTTTCCTGTGGCCTCTCACATTCCCAAGGCATTGTTCACTAGGGTCACCTTTTAACCGCACTCCAATAGATAAGCACTTTTTTTTTTAAGAGGGGGTGGAGGAAGCAGCAGAGTTCTGGCCTAAGCCTTTCCAGGTGAGCACTGCTTCTGTTGACAGTCCTTACTAACAATACATGGAAAACTAAGGCAAAATCTTAAAACAGAACTTAAAGTTTCCATGTTCATATCAAGAATTATAGAGCTCGCTGGCGTGCAGGCCTCTACTCCCAGCTATATGTGGGGGTGAAGCAGGAGGATTCACATTTCAAGGCTATCCTGGACTAGGAGTAGGCTGGTGTTGGGATGGATCAAGGACAAACTGAGCAATTTAAGGAGACTCACAAAACAATACAAACAACATTAAAACTGAGCTGATGTGGCTGGATGTGCATTTCAAGGTTCTTTCTTGCAAACACTGATAGTGGCTCTGTACTTAGGTTTTCTTTTCACTAGTAATTCTAAATAAGACAGAATACCACTGCAGTTGAGTGTTGGCTTTAAGTCAGCTTGCCTTCTCCCTTCCCACCAGGTTTTCTATTATT